TGTAGGTGACATGTTAAGACTCTTGTCATGACCATGTGGCTAGACTATGTGACTAGACTCAAGCAAAGACTAAGTTAAGACTTCATGTATATGCATTAAACTGGACAGACTATGGTATTTTAGTCATAACTTTTGGTCTGTGACTCTGATTGAAATATAACCAACGCCAAACTAAAGATAAAACTCGGGGCTACAGATCCATAGGTTGTACGACTCGTAGTTCTTCCTATAACTCCGGCTATGACCAAAACAAGTTGACGCTTGTGCAGTATACGGGAATAAAAATCCTGGTTGACTTAAAAGAACTATGGCTCGATAGGCATATTTATTAGCTCAAATTAATTAATTAATTAATTAAACAAAGTCCTTTAGTCATTAATTAGTTTATTAAGACTTATTTACAAACACAAGTCAAACCAAACGGTTAGTTTAGTCACATAATAAGTATGTACAAGTAAGAGATGCACAAGTAGTCAAGTAGTCACAACATGATGCAATGACTTTGCAACCTAACCATGTCTCTAGTTCTCTAAAGTTCGGGATATAGGTTACTCAAAGAGGGTCCATGGTTAATTGTTCGGATGCACCGCGCGGAAGCCTAACCGTGAAAGGTTGGCTCGAGTGGATGGGACACCGCGAGTTTAGAAAAACTCGCTTCCATGGTTTAATGAATTCAACATTCTCGGATGTACCCTTTGTTGCTCAGAGCGTTCAATCAGGTAGATGGAGCATGAATTCCCAGAGGGTTATGTCCATATGTAGAACACATATGGGTTTCAGAAAAGTGAGAAAAACTCAATCAGGAAGTAGGATCGAGCGAACAATGCTAAAAACTAGTCAAAATTAGAACGCATATTTCTAGCTCGGTATTGGAAGAATTTGGCGCCAGCAAACAGAGATTGGCGCCGGATTTTGGTTGTAGCGCCTGGCGACAGAACTGTCGTCTGGCGCTACAGTCAAATTTCAGGCGCTAATATTTTGTTCGCTGACGCTAATTCCTACATGCCTCAGCAGCTTTCTGTGCTCGATAAAATTTTCCAGTTTTCGCGCAGTGTTATTTCGGTCCTAGTTGTGAAAGATTTTCCTCAAATTTCCTACGTGTAAAATCCTATATTTTAACTCATTACGGATGGTCTTTCCAATGAGATCTTTTTTATGCATATGACAATAATGTTAATAAAAATTACGCACATGAAATACTTAGAACGTTTTGAGTCTCATCTACTCATTCTAAATCATTGCCAAAATAAATTTCAGGAATTAAAATATAAATTCTCCATAGTGGAGTCGCCAAAAACTGTAGGGAATATTTCAAGCATTAATCCCCAGATTGAACCCCACTGTGATCATACACTAAAGTACGGTGGCGTCCAAAGGGAAAGAAGATAGAGCAAAAGAGTCGGCAACAAGTTTTTTAGGAACTTGTAAACCATTCACGAGGTGAAGTTTACACCCCTTAACGATCCAGGAGATCGTCAACTCCAATAGGTCTGGAACCATGACTGGTAGTTCGGGGATGAAGGTACAAATCCAACCTAAAAGAGATTGAACCTGCCCTAATAATAGGCCTCTACTTTATTCTGATCGCATTCATGTGCGCTTTCTGACTAACATGCAATCAATAGGATTAACCCTAAACCTGTTTATCTATGTTGGTTGAATTTAATGCACAAATAAATCTATTATTGGCGATCACTTGAATTATAATCAAATTAACCCTAAACAAGATTATTAATTATCTTATTAAGCGTGATTACAAGTACCAATTCCCTTTAAACATGCAATAAAAGGCGTGATCAAGCAATAACAATAATATTATCAAGCAACATAATAAATCATCAAAAATTATAATAATCATAATTATGAAAATATAATCATAAATAAAATAATCATCATCAAAATAATAATAATAATAATAATATTCATAATCGTGTTAAAGCATAATAATTGCAAGATCCTAGGCATGATACTAACAAGATTAATAACAAACCCTAGCATGTCACTAAACAATAAAAATCAAAGCTTTAATCCTAACATGATACTATTAGGAAAGAATATAGGAAGCATCATAACAATCATACTTAGTATTAAATTTACCCTAGACATGATACTAGGAATATCATAAAAACAACCTAAGCATGAACTCTATATCATAATATCAATAAAAACCATTAAAGTACTTACTTTAATGTCTCGTACCTCTTTCTAATAATAAAATACACACGTTAGTAACTTCAAGGAAAATAATAAAACAACAATTAAATTAAATAATTGAAAGAGAGATTTGAGACCAAACCCTCGGAAATTAAACCTTTCACGTCTAGGGCGAAGGCAACTTCGAATATGCCTAGGTGTATCTAAATCTAATGAATGCGGAATTTTTATATTTGAGAGAAGGCTAGTTTAGAAAAGAGAGAGAGAGAGAAAAAAATCAAGAAAATCTTGATGAGAGTTGGTGACAAGAATTGGATGAGAAGGATTGATGAGAATTGATGATTGAAAACGGAGTTTTTAGAAGGCTATTTATAGAGAAAATCAGCCAAAAAGATAAAACATCAAAAACAGAGTTCTGACGCAAAAAGCCAGATTAGCGCCAAACGCTGACCTTAGCGCCAGGCGCCAAGCGTAGCGTCAGGCGCTACATCTGGCGTTTGGCGCTGACTCAGAAATTCACGCGTTTTCTTAAAATCAGATAGAAATTGCCGTACAGGAGCATAAAATCGTATTTTTCTCAAAAAACGTTCGTTGATTCTGATTAAAACTCTGAAAAGTAAAAAAAAAAAGAAGTCAATTTATCAATGCTAATTAAATTAGGAATGAAAAGAAACTTCTAGAAGAATCTAGAAGACTAAAACCATTCCTAATTGCATTAGGAATTATAAATTCATATTAGGCCCTCCTCTAGATCATTGGACCGCATATAAGGCTCAAACCAGACCCAGTTCAGTAATTAGGCCATAACTTCCTCAATATTCATCGGAATTGGGCTTATAATATATCGTAGGAAAACTCTTTTCAAGCCCTATCCAACTACACTATTATTAGATCCATATCATGGACCAACCAAACTGGATTGGCTGTTTTCTTAAAATAGGTTTTCAAAAACAGAGAGAAGAGAAAAGAAATTAAAACTATCCGCAACACTAAACTTTCCACACTTTCACTTTATTCGATTATGATTCGACGCAAAAGGTACTCATCACCGAGTTTGGTTTTGGGGAGACACGAATGGGTGTCTACAAGATTACATTACCATAACCGAGAATTATGACCAATTTTAATGATAACTTGTTGAATCTAATTTCAATTGTTGTACCATGTTGTTGAATGACAGAAAAAGATTCAAAATTGATGCTTTTCAGTTAGGAAGTGACAAGTCACTGATATCTGTTATCAATTTATTAATGCATATATTTTTAAAGTCATCTAATTAAAAAATGTTGTCATTTCAAATGTTTTTAAAATAATATAGTACAGCTTAATTTATGGATATGTAATTGGTCTAAACTAGTCCGCCCAAATTCAACTAATCCTTTAGCTATTGAGCCCAACATAAATTAATTTGGATAAGCTTGTGATTCCATCTATAAAAATAATTTCTTAATTAATTTCTTCGTAATATGTAATTAATTTTCTTACCTAGTAAGCCCAAAATAAATTATACGCTGCATTTCTTAATTTCAAATTGTAACGTATTTAACAAAACTGAGGGTTTATATTAATCAATTTTTTGGACCCAATTTAATAGTTGTGAATTCATAACAACTGGAGTTTGGATCCAAAAACCCAACAAAATGCAGAGTTGACGTAAGTCCATTCACATTTAGTTAAAAATTTCTCAAAAATAGCTTCTGTTGATTTGTATAATTTTGTTCCGAAAATTTTAAAAAATTTCACCAAAAAAATTCAAATTTTGGCTGAAAGTGAATAGTAAAAATCAAACATTGAGCCTATTTCTAGCTCTGTAGTTAGTTAAAATTCAACATTTTAGTCAATGACGGTACACAATCTAATATGACAAATATCAGAGTCCAGCTGATGAAAAATAAAGGTCATGTTTGTACAGCAATATTAAAATGACAATAAAAGAATATAAAAGGACTTATATCAAAGAATCTTTTGAATTAGAAACACCTTATGATATCATATGTTTGAAAGGATTTATCACTGACTTCACTAAGATATTTACACTAGCATGGAGTGGAATTATTGCAATCAGATTTAACCTTCAAATACGGGTCTGTTATGTTCACCTTATTTTCACTTATTTCATGTGTAATAAGTTCAAATAAGTTCAGATAAGTTCAGATAAGGTTTAATAAGTTCTAATAAGGGTTAACCAAGTACAAATTGCATTTAAAATAAGTTTTAATAAGTTCAAATAAGTTCAGGTAAGTTCGGATAAGTTCAGATAAGTTAAGATAAGTTCTGATTAGTGAAAATCAGATTAGTTAACATTTCCTTTTAATTGGTTCGGGTAGAATAGGATCGAATTGAACCAGTAAACAAGTGTAAGTGTAGTTCAAAATCTTTCGTGAAACAATCGGTTATGATTACAGTACAAAGACTTTACATTGACAAAAATAATGAATTAGGACGATCCGAATAGTAAATATGTAATAGGTTGACCAAACATTGGAATCATTAGTGTTTGAGGTTCCAAAAACATCGGGTGGGATCGGTTTACGGGTTTAACATAAAAAATGATCATCTATTAGCATGTTATGATCATCGTTTTCCCATATTCATTTGCTTAGGTACATCATTCTACCATATGATCAAATTATAAGCTTTGGAGGTGAGTACATAGCTTATCCACATCAGTGTTAAAAATGACAGTAAAAGAATCCTCAATGACATTTTCAGGGAATCTTTTGAAACTAAAAACACCTATCGTAGCTGTTTGATTTGAGTTGTCACTAGAAATTTATTTGTTGTTGTGTGGTTAAATTTTGTCTATAAAATGGGGAATGTAAATCAATAAAGTGCAATCAATTAGAAGTCATTATCTAGTTCATTATCTAGTTTGCCTAAAGACTTCCAAAATGGATGATGTAAGTAAATTTTCTAATTGTTTATATTTAATTTTTTGGTGCTACATTTATTTGCTAATGATTATGAAATGAATCATGTAACATCATTGTGCTTTTTTTCACTTTTTGATGATTAAGGTGTATGAAAGCTTGCCAAATTTCAGCGTTTTATGTGATGAAGACAATGACCGAGTGGTAATTACTATCTTATTGACAAATATGTTTACTCATTTTTGTTAAAAATTGTTTACGTAAAATATAACAGGCATCGTACAATATTCAATCTACTTAATTTTAGTAATATGTATTATCATGTATTAATTTGTAATTTTTTGTATTATTACTTATCATGCAGATGATTCCGTCTATATTTAGAGGCGTAATGTCTGACATGAGTGGCAGTGCTCATGTGTATAGGGGCCTAGACACTTCACAACATTGGGGTGTGTTTGTAACTGAGGTGGAAGAAAATGTCAATATGGTAACCTACATTGAAAATGGATGGAAGGTATTTGTAACGGACAACGATATCCAATTTGATGATGAATTAGTAATTTACTATGGTTTTTCTGGTAAGTTTAATTGTCGTGTTATAAGGGGTGGGGTTGATATCACAGTCGTTGAGGAGAACATGAACAATGAGAATGACCACGGAGATACCATTGTTGTTGATGATAATAATTTAATTGAATTGGAGACTCGCAAACAACGAACCAAGCAAAGACTTGGTAGGATGATCTTTCAATCTAGGAAGGTTGCCTTTGGTGTTACATTAACATCGACCTACATTGAGCATGGAAATATGGTAAATACTTTCAACTATTAACTTGTTACATTTAACTAATATTTTAAAATTTTATCATTAGTCACATGTTACCTTCATTGTTTTTGTAGAATGTGCCGGTAAAATTTGCTCGAGAAAATTTTGTAGGCCTTGCCGAAACCAACCGCGTTACTTTGACTTATAAAATTAAGCGTTGGGACGCCGACCTACATATTGTGAAAGGAGATACAAGAGGAGAATTGAAGATCGTGCTAGCCACTCTTAAAAGGATTCGCCCTATGATGAGGCAAATGAAGTTGAAACCATGTCATGGAATTTTTTTTGCTTATGATCTTAACACCCCTGACTTGTTCGAAGTTCGATTTGTTAAGGATGGTTGATGTTGCTATCATAACGTCAAATTATTATGTCATTTATTATATTGATTATGTCAGTTATTGAAGTCTTAATTTCGTTATCGTTTATGTATTGCAGCATCCTAATTTTAGATTGTAATGTTTGGGTCTATTAGTTATTTGTTGGTGTCATTTTGGAATGTATTTTATGTCATTATTGTACTCCTTTGTGGTTTTGTACTCTCTGGCATTAATCCTGTGGTATTACTAGTAACTTTGATGATTTTAATGTCTTAAATATTGTTCTAATAGGGGGTTAACAATTATTTAAGTAGATGTTGCATAATTTCAGTACTTGTTCACCATTTAAGTATTATACAAGTAATAATCATTTGCGTAATCAATTTTTAGAATCTACTTAGGATTGATTGATTATCAAATATCAAAAACTATTGTTAATTTATTTTTATTTGATAAAATTCAATACAATAATTTCCGCGCCTAATATAAAATAATCCTTCTTTCCGTTTAGTGAATTTTAGGTTGTGCGTCAATTACTACAAAATAACTGTCACCCTTTAAACTTAGTATGTCATTAGAAATTTCAACTACTAGCCAAATCTGAGTTCCATACTGTAGACACCCATTTGTGTCTCCCCAAAACCAAACCCGGTGATGAGTACCTTTCGCGTCGAATCATAATCGAATGAAGCGAAAGTGTGGAAAGTTTAGTGTTGCGGATAGTTTTTAATTTCTTTTCTCTTCTCTTTGTTTTTGAAAACTTATTTTAAAAAAACAGTCAATCCAGTTTGGTTGGTCCATGATATGGGTCCAATAGTAGTGTAGTTGGATGGGGCTTGACAAGAGATTTCCAACGATATATTATAAGCCCAATTCCGATGAATATTGAGGAATTAATGGCCAATTTACTAAACTGGGCCCGGTTAGAGCTTTATATGCGGCCCAATGATCTAGAGGAGGGCCTAATATGATTTATCATTCCTAATGCAATTAGGAATGGTTTTAGTCTTCTAGATTCTTCTAGAAGATTCTTTTCATTCCTAATTCAATTAGCATTGATAAATTGACTTTTGTTGACTTTTCAGAGTTTTAATTAAAATCAAAGAGCATTTTTGAGAAAAATACGATTTTATCCTCCTGTACGGCAACTTTTATCTGATTTTAGGAAAACGCGTAATTTTCCAGATCAGCGCCAAACGCCAGCTGTAGCGCCTGACGCTACGCTTGGCGCCAGCCTTGGCGCCTGGCGCTAGTGTTGGCGTCTGGCGCCAACAGCTAGCGTTGGCGTTGGTTCTGTTTTTTGTGCGCCAATGCTCTGTTTTGATATTTTATCTTTTTGGCTGATTTTCCCTATAAATAACGTCCTAAAAACTCCGTTTTCATTCACCTACAACCAGCTTTCATTCATCGATTTTCTCATTCTCTTTAATCATTCACCATCTTTCTCTCTTTTTCTAAACTTGCTTTTTACATACAAAATTCCGCATTCACAAGATCTAGAAACACCTAGCCAAGTTCGAAGTTGCCTTCGCCCTAGACGTGAAAGGTTTAATTTCCGAGGGTTTGGTCCCAAATCTCTCTTTCAATTATTTAATTTAATTGTTTTGTTTATTATTTTCCTTGAAGTTACTAACGCGTGTATTTTGTTATTAGAAAGAGGTACGAGGCATCAAATTAAGTACTTTAATGGTTTTTTTGATGTTATGATGTAGAAATCATGTTTATGTTGTTATTTTGATTCCTAGTATCATGTCTAGGGTAATTTTAATATCAAGTATGATTAAAAGTATGATGTCTTCTATGTTCTTCCTAATATTTATGATTGTTAGTATCATGCCTAGGATCTTGCTATTATTATGCTTTAGCGTTGATATGATTATTTTAATCATGATTATTATTATTATTAATTATAATTGTTATTATGATGATTATTTTTTTTTTATTATTATTATTATGATAATTTATTATGTTGCTTGATATTTATTGCTTGATCACACCTTTTATGCATGTTTAAAGGGAATTTGTACTTGTAATCACGCTTAATAAGATATTAATAATCTTGTTTAGGGTTAATTATGATTATAATTCAAGTGATCGCCAATAATAGTTTTATTTGTGCATTAATATTCAACCAACATAGATAAACAGGTTTAGGGTTAATCCTAATGATTGCATGTTAGTCAGAAAGCGCACATGAATACGATCTGAACAAAGTAGAGGCCTATTATTAGGGCAGGTTCAATCTCTTTTAGGTTGGATTTTGTACCTTCATCCCCGAACCCTTATGTGGTTCAAGACCTTATGGAGTTGACAATCTCTTGGATCGTTAAGAGGTGAAACCTTCACCCTGTGAAAGGTTTACAAGTTCCTAAAACTTGTTGGCGACTCTTTTGCTCTATCTTCTTCCCTTTTGGACGCCACCGTACTTAAGTGTATGATCACAGTGGGGTTCAAGCAAGGGGATTAACGCTTGAAATTTATTCCCTATAGTTTTTTGGCGACTCCACTGGGGAGGATTTCTATTTTAATTCATGAATTTGTTTCGGCAATGATTTAGAATTAGTGGATGAGACTCAAAACGTTCTAAGTGTTTCATGTGCGTAATTTTGATTAACATTATTGTCATATGCATAAAAAAGATCTCATTGGAAAGACCATCCGTAATGAGTTAAAAACATAGGATTTTACATGTAGGAAATTTGAGAAATATCTTTCACAACTAGGACCGAAATAACACTGCGCAAAACTGAAAAATTTTATCGAGCACAGAAATCTGCTGAGGCATGTGGGAAGTAGCGCCAGGGGCCAGAGCATTGGCGCCATGATTTTAGCTGTAGCGCCAGACGCCATAATTGGCGCCAGGCGCTACAGCTAAAATCTGGCGCCAATCTCTGTTTACTGGCGCCAACTTCCTCCATACCGAGCCAGAAATATGCGTTCTAATTTCGACCGGTTTTTCGTATTGTTTGCTCGATCCTACTTCCTGATTGAATTTTTTTTCTCACTTTTCTAAAACCCATATGTGTTCTACATATGGACATAACCCTCTGTGAATTCATGCTCCATCTACCCGATTGAACGCTCTGTGCAACAAAGGGTACATCCGAGAATGTTGAATTCACCAAACCATGGAAGCGAGTTTTTTCTAAAGCTCGCGGTGTCCCATCCACTCGCGCCAACCCTTCACGGTTAGACTTCTGCACGGTGCATCCAGACAATTAACCATGGATCCTTTTTTACTAAACCATATCCCAAACTTTAGAGAACTAGAGTCATGGTTAGGTTGCAAAGTCATTGCATCATATTGTGCCTACTTGACTAATTGTGCATTATTTGTTGTGCATATGATCTATGATTTCTTAACCGTTTGTTTGACTTGTGTTGAGATTAAATAAATTAATGACTTAAAGAACTTTGCCTAATTAATTATTTAGTTAATTAATTTGAGTCAATAAAGTCTAATATTTTAATCAGAATTGACCTAGTACGACTTTAGGCATACCCTAGTTGATTAATAACACCGAAAACAGTCTCAGATTGAAGCTCCACCATTGGCGCAAAAATCTGAGCTGTAGCGCCACCCTGTGGAGTGTGGCGCCTGACGACAGCTCTGTTGTTTGGCGCTAAGCTACACAGTGCGACGCCAGTCCTGTCGTTTTGCCGACAGTTCGGATTATTGGCCGAGTCATCACCTAGTGTCTAATTAACCAGTTTGCTAATTAATTCGGTTAATTTTCGCTGTCAATAGTACTTGTTTGAGTCGTTAATCGATTTTAAGGCACTAAGTCCCATGGTCTTACACAAGGGTCCAAACATGTCTCTGAACGCACACATCAATACACACACTTTGACCATGTCTAAGTGAGTCTTGCATGCGCGTTTTTTCCGTCATTTTTTAGGGGGGTAAGTCGGATATTAATCCTCAAATGTAAAAACTATACTTAGTTCTCTAAAAATATGTAAAAATATGTACATTATTTTTGCCACAAATATGCACCCATTTTTTTATTTTTTCTCTTTAAAAAACCGTAAAGTCAAGTTGATTTGAGTCAAGTAATTAAAACGCAAAATGGTTTAAATTACAGCGCGTGGTCAAGAAAGGAAGGACGGTTAATCAAGGACAATCTTTTCGTACAAGTCCAACTTTTCGACAAACTCATAGCTCGTAAGATGAAAGCTAAGACCATAATGGCAACACAAGAAGAAGTCAATGAGCTTAGGAACAAATTGGTTACCGTGACTGAGACACTGAAGCTCCTCACACTCAAGATCGATGATCCCGTGAAGCAACAGCAGATGGACCTCATGCAAGAGAGTCTAAGCAAGCTATCTAGCGACTACAAGTTTCAAGGGCTTACATCACAAGGGGTCTTGGTGGACAAAAGATCTTCTTCCGCAGAAGTTCAATGCCAACGACATCCCGACATTCAAAGCAACTGATAACCCTTATTTCTATTTAAGAGCCGTCGAAACAATAATGAGTATTAAGGGTATCGACAAGAAGAATTTCCCCTCTCTGTTCTCACTATCTCTCGAGACCGTTTGCCAATAATGGTTCTTTTCTCTCGAGAAAGAAAAGACTTCTACCAGGGAGTCCATAGCAAACGCTTTCGTTGATAGGTACAAGTGCAACATTCAAGTTGAGACCGACCATAGGGAACTTGAGGTCCTCAAGCAGAAAGAGAATGAAGGCTTCACCTCTTTCTTTAACAAATGGAGGGAAACCTCAGCTAAGATGATTGAGGTGCCAAGTGAAAAATAGTATGTAAGGTTGTTCATCAAAAACCTTCAAGAAAAATATTCCAAGCACCTCAAGTATCAAAATAATCTCCATACCTTCAAGGCCGTCTACGACATTGGGATCAATATTGAAGATGACTTGGCTAAGTTAAAAGCTTCCTCCAACAGTGGCTGGAAAGGAAAGAAGAACGACAATCCTTCTTCTTCCAAAACCACCCACTCAAACAACTTTAGCACTTTTAATTTAGGTGAAGTCCTTGCTATGAACAATCAAGGACAAAAGAAACCATTTAGGAGAAACTTTACTCCTATTGGCATGAGTTATGACACCGCATTTGATCGATTAAATACAAAAGGTCTTATAACTCCTATTGGACCATTTAGGGACCCACCAGTCGAGAAGAGGTCGGCTAATTGGAACC